AATAAATTATGAAACTTTACGTACCGTCATGTGGGTCTACTTTGTGCAGGATTTCGCAGTTATTGAACTTTGACATGTAAAAAAACTATGTTAATTCAAGCTTTAGTAAAATTTATCGATATTACATTCATAACTGGCTAGGTGGCGCAGTTGGTTTGTCGTTGGCCTTCTGAGCCCAAGTTTGCGGGTTCTATCCCCGGCTCAGACACCGGATTTTCGGGATGCAGAAAATCCTCAGCGGCCATGTCATATGATTATGCGGCATGTAAAAGATCCCTGGAGTGCCTTATTGGCTCCTGGCATTTCCGGCAAAATTAAATTCCTAGTGCACTTTAGCATCCAAACAGAGTCTCGGTGCTGCCATCTGGTATGGCAGAAACTAGACGTCCAAATTAACATGACCAACGGTATCTCACCCATTGTGGTGGTCCTGAAAGAGTGGATACCACCTCTGGAGAACGCACTAGGTCTGCTCATCGGCAAGACCGATAATGCAGCTCATTGGAAATATAAAAAAAAACATTCATAACTGTACTCAGACGAGTGAATTTGATCAACATTGGCATTATTTGTATGTAATATTTACAAATAATAAGTCAAAACATACCTTGCACAAAGTAGCTGCCAAGTGGGGCTTTCTTTGTGCAGCGATAGGAATTCAGTTTAATAATCATGTTTTTAGTAAAATATTGATATAAAATTGTTAAAAAAGTTAATTGTTGTCATTTCTAATAACAAAAACATCAAGATATATAAAGGTATTAGTTTGAAAATAATTTTCAGCGTTAAAAAACCATTTTTTATAAAGAATTTTTTCTTAAAAAGAATGCTTATTTCAAAACATTGGAGTTTAAACAAAAGGATACCACATGCATTTTTGAACATTGAAATGGATGAAATTTCAAAAATAGTAATTATTACATATTCATTAACATTTATAATACTGATAAATTTGAACATAACATGCTTGAATGAACACGACAGAACTTGCTCTTCAGTTTCTATCATAATCACCTGATGTCGTAGAAAATATATTTTTATGTGTCAAATCGTTTGATAAATTCATTAGAAAAATCTTTGTAGAAGAAAAATAATAGTTTACCAGCACGTTTCACGTGTTTCTAGTGAATTTTATTAGATATGGTATTTCTGTGAATTTTGTACTTCCGAGAAGCTTCTGCAATCGACATACCACCAGCAACTGCTTGCAAACATTGTTGCAGCTTTTCTAAAGTGTAATAATGGTACTTTCTCGTTCCATCAGGTACTTTTTTTATAACGTCTGACAATTTTCCGTCGAAAAAAAAACGAATGAAACTTTGCACAAAGTAGCCCTATAGTGCACTTTATTTCATTTTCCGTTTATTTGTAATTAGTTTTCAAATTTTTTTTAACTCTAGCATGATATAATTGTTTATTAATATAAAAATAAAAAATTTTGCACTTACGACAGTTGTTTTATCAACGTCTTTGCATTTCACAGCTAAAGTTTCCACGCACACTTTTTGACGTCTGACGTTCTCGGAAAGTTGTTGACATTGCATAAACAAAACACACTCTGAGATTGTTTTAAAATTCAAAAAAATGTTTGTAGTAATAGAGGCGACTTCTATCTTCAAATTCCACGCATTTTTAACGTGAAAAAAGCATAATACTGAATAGCAGCACTTGAAAAGTGCCAAATTCGAATTTTCACAAAGTAGCCCGCGCTGCACAAAGTAGCCCCACATGACGGTATATTAGTTCTTTGCATGTCATAGCAATCGTTTCTAAATCTCGTTTCACATAAATTAGAAGGTATAGAAAAATATTTTTTTTTTTAAAACAAAAACTCAGTACAAATTCTTGGGTGAAAGCTGTTTACAATCAAGATTTCAGCGTCAAACCGTTTATTGTCCATTTTCAGAGTAATATACTCGTGGAAAACGTTTAGCAATGTTCACTTTATATTGCGTTGTGTTACACTAGTTAACTATTGACTAGTTGGCATTAGTAGTCTTAATAATATTTTTAAAAGATGTGCCAACAAATATATACAAAATAGCTCGATAAGAATAACGATTAAACAAAAAACAATAATAAAAAGAATAATTAGCTTGGCTTACTTATTGGCATGCATTACTTCCAGATATTTCTGCTTTAACCTTTCTGTATAATTTCACATTCATTTGTTTGTCCAGTACACATTTTTACTTTTTATGCATTAAAAATACATTAAAAATTATTGTATACGTGAAAATTATTGAAAATCTCATTACAGTTGGTTACTACATTTGTGTTACATAGATGCATTTCTATCTGTAGGGTGAATGGCAAAGATGGCAAAACCGGAAATGTTTTGAAATTATTATTTCTTAAACTTTACTCCTACATTGTTACTTTTTAACCGTATATTTATCCTTATTAGTGTGAAGTAACCTCTGTCGAATTATATCATCAATGTTTTGCCATTCCTGCCATTTTTCCTAGTAATGAAGATGCTCCTGCGTGACACAAAAACACGGTAATTTTTTTTTTTTTGTAGACTTTTGGTATTCGCAATTTTTTATCAAATTTATAACGTAATCCGAGGAAAGGAGAGCCATTAAGGAATTAGCTTTTAATTTCTATAAAAGTTCAGAAATGTTAAATTTTCTGAAAATTTATGACCAATACGTTTGAGGTAATTTTTTTTAATTTTTTTTTCCGACGTAAGATGACAGTTAAAAACAAAATGTATACAATTTTTAGTTGTGTGAGTGTGTATTGCAGTCATTCATTCGTTCTGTTTCTGTGAAAGTCTTGAATAACGTCAAACGTTATCACTGTTGTGAGTTTATATCTATCATTCATCTGTGTAGATCTTTCAAAAGCCACGAATAGCCTTAAATGTCCTCTTTGTAGCTGTCTTGAGTTTATATCAGCCATTCATTAGTCGCATTCCTCCCAAATATACAAGAATATCCCCAAATCTTCTCACTGTCATTGTTTTGAATATATATCGGTCAGTCATTCGCCCAGTTCTTATCAAAGTCATGCGAATATCCTTTAGTGTTCTCCTTTATCACCGTTGTGAGTTTATATCAATCTTTCCTCTCTCTAGATCTTTCAAAAGGCATGAATAGCCTCAAATGTTCTCTTTATAACTGTTTTGAGTCTATATCAGCCATTTATTTGTCAAATTCCTTACAAATACACAAGAATATCCCCAAATGTTCTTCTTATCATTGTTTTGAATATATATCGGCCAGTCATTCACCCAGTTCTTATCAAAGTCATGCGAATATCCTTTAGTGCTCTCCTTTATCACCGTTGTGAGTTTATATCTATCTTTCATCTCTCTAGATCTTTCAAAAGGCATGAATAGCCTCTAATGTCCTCTTTATAACTGTTTTGAGTCTATATCAGCCATTTATTCGTCAAATTCCTCACAAATACTCAAGAATATCCCCAAATGTTCTCCTTATCATTGTTTTGAATATATATCGGTCAGTCATTCGCCCAGTTCTTATCAAAGTCATGCGAATATCCTTTAGTGTTCTCCTTTATCACCGTTGTGAGTTATATCTATCTTTCATCTCTCTAGCTCTTTCAAATGGCATGAATAGCCTCAAATGTCCTCTTTATAACTGTTTTGAGTCTATATCAGTCATTCATTCGTTTAGTTCTTGTCAATGACATGGATATCCTCAAATGATCTCCTTATTACTGTTGTTATTTATAGCAGCTATTCATTCATCCAGTTCTTAACAATTGCATGAATATTCTTAAATGTCTTCTTTATCACTGTTTTGAGTTTATATCAGCTATTCATTCATTTAAATGTTTGATCTCTGATTTTTAGGAATGAAGTTATAATAGTTTTTCTGTGTAGCTGATAGGCAAAACAGTAAACTGTAGTTATTTGTTTTGTTCTCGTAATTTTCTTGCAGTTTAAATGAAATTTTTGAAGAACGTTTAATTTCATAAAATTTCTTTACGATAAAACATTACAAAAAAGACTTAATATAGAACTCTTTGAAATTATGTATGCAGATGTTTTTATAATGTTAATGATGTTTTGAATTAAAAGCAAAGGTCTAGGTGTGAATTTGTTATTTTTATCGAACTTTAAATACAATATTTAGAATTTTTCTTAATAAATTAAAAATTAAACAATATATTTAGCTCCATTTCATTGTCTTTCCATTTAGTCTTTTGAATTTTTTTAAAATTTTAGTTCAAAGCCCAGGTAATCGCATTATTGGTTTAAATTTATTTTTTTAACTCATCAGAATTTACTGTAGAGTTGTTGGCGGGACATGGAAAAGATGTAGTTTTCAAGCTTAAATTTGCCATTATATTGAAAATTGTTCTGCAAATTTTAAGTCATTAACATGAATTTAAAATTTTAAGAATCTTACTTTGCCAAAAATAAAATTTTAATGAAGATTTAAAAAAAAAAATGCATGGAAACCAGTCGGATACCTTTATTTTCAAGCCTCAAATTAACTCTTTGTCCATAATATTGCTTATAAATGTCTGAAGTGCTTGTCTGATTTTCAAACTATCAGTTTCTTTTCAGCTAAGTAATGTATTTAATTGCTTAAACTTTGGATTTTTATTTTCTTTCAAAAAAAAGAACCTTCTACAAAACGTCTGAAAAAAGCAACAACTGTATAATTTTAAAACTATTTAAAAGCAGTTTTTTTCGATTAACCATTTTTTTGTATTATTTATCTACGACTCATTTACTGCCTTTAAACTTCCAAACAAGCACTTATATAATAAAAAAGTCATAAATGCGAAGCTAATGTTGACCTGATTACACTACTTCAGCGTTAAAATTAATCGACTGCATTTTATTGAAGGGTGTAAAGAATAAATATCACAAGTTATTTTTATTTTATAAACTCCAAGTGTATAACAACTGTATCGTAAATACAATAAACATTTGTGTAAATAAGTGTCGTGTTTCAATATTTGTCTTGTACATTATGTTATTTTGAAGAGCGAACAAGAAAAAATCACTATATAAAAAGAGGAAACATCAATTTTTAGACTTTTTACTTTTATAGACAGGAAATTGCAAACGTTGAACAATGAATCCAAGAATATGCATGTTTTTGTTCGTCATTATTGCAATATTATCCATTTCAGGTAAAATGGGTCAATTTCATTTCAAAATTTATAATCTATTTTTAAATGCATTTTAATATAAATATGTATTCTTTCATTCATAAGAATAAGTCACGACTCGTTATATGAACCTCCTGTCTCCTAAACAAAAACGAATTTTATACAAAGCGTAAAAAGTGTTAGAAAATAATAATTTATGAAATAATTGATTTTAAGATAAATAAAAATCAAGGTTACTTGCCTTACTTCATTTAATACACATTTTATGCTCTCACTTTTAGTAAAGGCAATCAGAGAAGACATACAGATTTTGAGTTTAAGGCCGGCTTAATTAAATATAAAGTTTTTCTTTCAACCAAGAAATCCTAACGATATTTATAGTTATTTAATTATAGTTATTTTTAATTATAATTATTGAACTTATTCATAAATATTTTTTCTATGAATTTTTAGCATGAACCTTATTACTATAATAGTTATTTAATATTAAGATTTAAGGTAAAGATCGAAATTTTTGTGTAGTTGAAAATTTGCATTTTGTGTATAGATAATATAGATATAAGCTTAAAAATAAATACAAGTTATTGTAATAAATTGCTGTTTATAAATAACTGTTTGTGAACAATTCGTTCAAACAATTCGTCGTAAATAATTAGATTAAGCAATTCTTTATAACGTAAAACTGCTATTAAATAATTGAAAAAAAGTATTAAATATCGTGTCACTTCTTTCACAAGGAAGTCCATTAGGTATTCCATTGGGTGCTACAAAAGATAGAATGGATTTTTTAGTTTTTATTATTGCATTAGAGTCTAGTTTAACACTAGAAAAACTGAAACTTAGTATACGCCTATACTGCCCAAAAAGAGTCAAAAGGACTGGATTGTGAAAAAATAATTAATGCGTAAGGAAATTATTGAAAATTAATTTTTAATAGTTTTTATTTTATTTACAAATATATAACAAGTCATTTGAAAAAATAAACAATAAAAAATTATATGTAGTACAATAAGTCACAAAACTCTCAGATATTGTGTCATTATATACATTATTGTTTTTCTAATTGAAATTACAAAGCAGTCAAAATGACTTCCCAGGGCAATCTAGTGTTAACCGGGATGGGTGGTCGGGAAATGATTCTTTCCGAATAAGTGAGTAACTCAGATGATGCAGTTCATACAAATTTTGATAAAAAATTATGTAAAATTTAAGTTTATTTTACAATAAAACATTTATAGTTAAATTAATTCAAAAGGAAAAGAGCTAACAAGACCTTTCAATGTTATTTCGATTCACAGTTTGTGTACTTGAAAAGAAAAACCGAGATAAAGTTTACCTCATTGTTTAGTGAGGAATTAATTGATCAAAATTTATTTTTGTGCGTAGATTTCTAGTCGAAGAATTTGACTTCGCAGATTTCTCAACTTCATTTTTGGGTCAATCCGATGCAATAAGTGTCATCCTTATAATCATAGCAAATGTATTAAACTTAATTTTATTAAAATATAAATTGGTGTTTATAAATAACAGTTATAAAAGAATTTGCATTGTTTAAACACAATAACCGATAACAAAATATTAAAAGCTACTTTTTCACTGCAGTTGCACTTCCAATTGACCCATTTGGTCCTCCAATGGGTAGTCCATTTGGTACTCCAATGGGAAGTCCGATGAATTCTCCCATGGATGATCAAAGTGACGATTCTAATGGTATGTATTTGTAGTGTGTTTGTATTTGAATTTTATGATTTTTTTCATACGTAGTTAAGTTTTTTTTATGTGTAATTGTAATTTAGTCATTATTGTAGTTGGAGTAACATGAGTGGAAATTTTATTTTGGCGATATGAATTTTGCCAGTAAGGGTGGTCGACCCTCGTTTCAAGACCCTGTATCTTTCGATTTGTTGGCGTTGTGTGGGGTCTGGAGCACCCTTGTTTTCAGCCAATGACTTTAATTTAAAAGAGCCATGAAACTTACCATGAGGCTAACCGTGTGAAGTTTTCGAGATTTATCATTTCCATGTCGCTCAAATGAGGGTCAATTCCATCAAAAAGTCCTCCACGAAGGTAAAAACTCCTAATACTTGATTCAGGAGTTCCCTTGTCTTCTTTATTGGGATCTCAATTAAAAGGCTACAGAGTTGAACATTAGTACTACTCGTTAACCCAAAAAATTGGACTGACAGCTTAACGACGGTTATGAAATTGAAGGGGTAGTTATGCCTTTAAAAAATATTTTTTGGAACTTTCCAGGCAACAGCAGTTCCCGAGGGGCTTATAAATGACAATATTATTTTAAAATGCATTAGAGCTTCTTTATTAAGTAATTATTTCATTCGTGTAAATTTGAACAGATTTTCTCTATTTCAGGATTGACTGCAGCCTCTGCTACGACTGGTATGAATTATATTTATTTTTATATTGCATGAATGATTGCTGATAAACCAATATTTAAATTTTTTCTATTGTATACCAATGCACGAATCTTATATGTTATGTAAAAAAAAACTATTATATACATGTATTCGAATTATTTCGACAACTTATTAATCTATACACGCTTGCGTATTTATAATTAAATAACTTACATAATCTGAGATGTTCTGCATGTATAATCAAATATGCATTAATTCATTAAGTCATCATGTATAATTTCGAATTCTACTAAAAATTTAGTTGTTGAAATTTAAGGGCAAAAACCATTTGAAAAAAATTATTTGAACTAATTATTTTGAAGCCAAGAAGAACGGAGAAAAAGGAGGATGCCAGACATCAGTAACCATCTTTAAACTTAACCATCAGTAATCACCAGTTACCATCTTTAAACTTGACCATCAGTAACCATCTTTAAACTCAAAATCTGGTTGTATATTATTTGGATAGATATTCTTTGGCAATTGTTTTTATTTGTGATTGTTCGGAATATGAAAACAGTTTTTGTAGCAATTTAATATTATTTATTATCCCCAAGTGATTGCATGTTTCATCATTTCATATTTCACAAATATTCTCCTTTATAAATATTTCCTTAGAATCATAGTCAGTAACATATTATTTATACATTAATGACAAAATAGTATTCTCGGTATGTTTATTTTTAAAAGAGAAAAGAAAAAAAAAAGAACAAAAGTCACCAGTTGAATTTGTAATAAGGAAAGAAAGATTGAAAACAAGGAATTTGTTCGTTTGTCGGAGGAAAGTTGAAGGCCTACTGATATTTTCCGTTCAACGCAATTAAACAGATTATCTATGCTTTTAATTTGTCTTCCTTCATAGTGATTCTGTGTATTTTGATAACATTTTAATTTCTTCTTTTTAAATATTAGTTTTCATGTCCTACGAAACCGATTTAAATACGAACTGCAGAATATAAAGTTTAGTTACAAAATTCAAATATAATAAGAAGAAAATATTTTTAGTGAGAAGAAGAAAAATTATCACCAATTAGTTTCGACAAATATGTCTGCTACAAAATGTTCATTAAATTTGTCTGCTACATTTTATGCTATGTTTACTACATTTTTTATAAAATTGTTTACTCGACAGATGTTTTTTCCTTTTTTAAAAAGTAACTTTTTTGGGAATAACATTAAAAAATACTTAGTAAAGTTAAAGATTGAGTAATTAATTGAAATCTATTTATTCAATTTTAAGGTTTGAATTTTTGAATAAGTAAATTTTTATTATACCCTCATTTTATTAGATAATATAATTTAAAAAAGAAAAATATTTTGTTTGAAATCATTTTCTCATTTCAACATTAATTTATTGTTATAATTTGCTTGTTAATGATTTAATTCATTTTCATTTCCAGAGAAAAAGGTTGAAGATGTCGTAAATCACGTGATAAGTGTTGTTGATCAACAGTAAGTGTTATATGATAGTTTCTATTAATTAAATGCATACTTGAATAAAAAAGCTCTACTTTTTAACCACAGTTGTTAAGTCAAAATTAGAAAGATTCGTTTCAAACTCCAGTTCAACTTTGGACTTTTCTACGAGCTTTAATCCAATAGCAAAAACTACAATTCTATATTCTGTAGAGATATCTATCAAAATTTTCGCCGAATCCTTGGAACGTTTAAATATTTACACTAAGTTAATATCAGTTTATGTGTGCATGATTTGAGTTAAGGAGTTGGATAAAGGCGACCCAGGCAAATATTCCCATACGCCGAATGAGTTATAGGTGTTTTAGTTAAATTACATTTTATGTTATGAACTAACTATTGATGAAATAAATTTTGGAAACTATATTTGTTCTAAATATTGGCACTGAAAGTTCAAAATACTGGCCATATTATTTGTTCGAAATACTGGCAAAAATATTGTCACCATTAAAGGAAGAGAGCTTAATATCAAAATATCAAACTCACTCTTCTGAATTAATAAACATCTTGCATGAAAAAGATTCTTTAGGAAATATTCCATTTAATTAAAAAACTTAAATAGTTATTCGCAATATTCAGTAAAGAAATATTTTTGGTCCTCATTCGAAATATAAATGTTTGTCTTCATAAATTTCATAAGAATTATTTATTTATTTCCGGAGTCGTGTTAAACAAATTTTATCAGCTGCATCTATGAACACAAAACTCTGCGCATAACATGTGTATAATAAATATCCTGCTTATGTTTTTATTTTTTTTTAATTTTTAGAAAAGACCAGCAATCTCCAATGAATATGATGTCTCCGATGATGCAACCAATGCCTATCTGATGATGTAATTTGAAAGAATGGAACGGTTAATTAGATTTTATAGGTATTTTATCCAATGACACTTACAGGTTTTGTTTGTAAAATGACATTGCTTGAATTTCTGAATAAACTATCGCACTAAAATAATTGTAGTCTCTAAGGAATTATTGTAAAATTCGAATACTTGGCTTTTGATTTATACGACCAGTTCTCTTCCTTACAAAAAAACCCAGTGCCATTAAATGTAAAATTAATAGTGTTGACTGCTAAATTATACAACCAGCTTACATCTTTGGAGAAAAAAAAACTCAGTTTCCGCAATTTCTCCAGTAAAATTACCAGAGTTGCCTGTTAAATTTTACGGTTATTATTTCAGGCTTTCTAACACAAATCGGGTATGTCTACTTTCTCGCATGGTGTTACAGTAACAGGCACAAAGATTCTGGGTTCAACCAAATCTAAAACATCTCTATTACACTCACTCTAAATTGGTGACCATGGACTAAGGTGCTTTTTATTCATTCTTCAACAGAAGATAGCAAAAGGAAATATTAAATACGTAATAAGGAATGCAAAATAATATTTTAAGGTGGAGGAAGAAAAATTTTGAATAATCTGACAAATAATTAACAAGGAAGGAAGTAAAGAAAAGTTCCAATTTGTCTCATTGCCGAAAAAATTCAGAAAAATTAAAATGGCGCAATGCTAGTAAATTTAGTGCGGCATGACTGTGTGCGGTGCAGACTTTTGCTCACCTTGAAAACAGAAATGAATCAAGCTTTGATTCTTTTATTATTATTATTATTTTTTTAAATTTATAATAATCTCTAAGAAATCATCATTATTTTACAGCTTATTATACTTGCACATTTTGCAGCTGAAATTAAGTTAAAAAGAAACAATTCCATTCCGAAAAGCCATTACATTATGAACACCCTGCTAATAATACGTAGGACCACCTTTAACCCTCAAAACTACTAGCACCCGCCGTGGCATTGATTCCACAAGGTGCTGATAGGTAGTCTGAGGTAGAAAGCACTCACCAACTCGCCCTACAATTCGCTTACATTGTGAGGGGGTAGCGTGGCAGAGCGAATTTGGTTTTCCAAGTAGGACCACAAATGCTCTGTTGGATTAAGGTCAGGTGAATTTGGGGGCTAAGACGTGACTTGAAAGTCACTGAAATGTTCCTCGATGATCGACCCTTATGGCATGGTGCATTATCCTGTTGGTAAACACCATCCCCCGCAGGAAAAACTGTTGTCATGAATGGGTGAACCTGCTCTGCAACTATGTTCAAGCAGCTTACAGATGTCAGGGATTGTTCTATGAGGATTATGAGTCCTAATGTGCCCCATGAGAACATTGTTCCTGGGCGGGAAACCATGAAAACCTATGCGAGTTCATTGTTATGGAGGGTGATCATAATGTATTCGCTCTTCGGTGTATATGTCTTAAAAGATAGAAATTTCACCCTTAGTTATTTAACTTTCTTGGCGTTTACGTCATTCTAATTACATTGTTTTTGTCCAAATAAAATCTGTTTCAGTTTAGACTTATTTATTTAAGGCATTTGATATTACTCACAAATTTATAAATATGTATTCTATAAAGTTGACAATGCTTTTTTATTTCTCTTATAGGATTGAAAATATCATATAATGTCTCCAAGAAGATGAAATGCAGACCATTTTTGTGCTACAAATTTATTTTGGAACATTAAACTTAGTTTTGCACTGATAAATGAAGTTGTTTTAATTAGAGCTAGGAGGCCATCTGAACCCTCTGTTCACTTACACTCGCCTTCCACCGGAGCTGCTTTCGTAACTCCCATCGGCTTACTTCTTAATACGAGTTCGATTCACAAGCTCCTACCGCCGGAGCTGCTTTCGTAACTCCCTTCGGCTTACTTCTTAATACGAGTTCGATTCACAAGTTCCTACCGCTGGAGCTGCTTTCGTAACTTCCTTCGGATTGTTTCTTAATTCGAGTTCGATTCACAAGCTCGTACCGCCGGAGCTGCTTTCGTAATTTCCTTCGGGCTGCTTCTTATTACGAGTTCGCTTCACAAACTCATTCGATACGTTACTTCCGTCTAGCTTTGTATATTTTTGCGAAAACCAAAAAGTTTGAAGCAATTAGTTCAGTAAACTTTACTCTGAACAAAATTCAAAACATATATATTTCTCTGAGTAAAGTACCTTCAATATTAATTTGAAATTGCGAGCAGTTATCTGATTTTTCTTAAGTACATAAATTTAAATGTAAGTGTTCAGAAGTGCAACAGCTATTAGTCCTTTATTTTATCACAAAGTTGCAAAATGTATAATAAAAGAAAAGAATAAGAAAAATGGATATAGCCATAAAAACGTTAAAATTAACTTAATATTTGGTAGTTGAATTTGAGTTTCATGATTAATTCCATGTTAACAATTCAAATTCCTTGATTCCTAATCACTAAAGTTCATTTTTCCCAGTGCACATTTCTAACTTTCAGAGTATACACAAATAACACAGGGCTAAAATCAAGTCCTTGAAACTGCTCAGAAAATTTTATGGTTCCACAACGGAACACAAAAATAAATTCATGCAATTATGGTTATGGTTATTTATTAAAAAAATTTTTCGAAATGAAACAAAAAGCTTAATTTTAGAGGTAATGACATTCAGAGAAGATATTTCTTTCCTATATGCTATAAATATAATCATCTTTTTTGATATAATAAAACAGAAGCAAAAAAAAAATATTATAGAAACAATAAATAATGATCACTGAGTGATAATAAATAATGATCACTGTAGTGATCTTGGAACTGTAGCACTGTAGTGAATAATGAGTGATCAATAAATAATGATCACTATTTAAATCTTTTAAACTAACCGTAAATAAGAAACTAACCGTTTCTTCTAATCTTTTGGCAACACTATACGCACACATTTTGTTAGGTTGTCGGTTATAATTTAAGTAGTGTTTAAAATAATTATACATAATCAAGTATTTATTTAGATTTGTTTTGTTAGTTCGTCTTAAGAAATAATTAAAGTAGTGCTGAATGGTTAGTTATACATTGAGTATGTGTTTTGTTTAGGTTATTTTATGTTTTTGCTTGTGTTATGCTTTTATAGTCATTTAGACTTAATTACGAAGTAGTTATTTAGACTTGTTTATATCCTTTCTTTAAATGGCTGTATAAATATTAAACATAAATGGCTCTACGCTGACGTATACCGTCATACTCATAGAACCGTCATACGCATACCATTATTCTTGACGGAGTTTGCTTTCTTTAAAGTAAAAGCAAATATGTAATATACTAAAATTAGATTTTGACTCGAAAGGCACGTGAGAAAGTAATAAACTTAAGGGATGGCTTAGTTACCATTAAGTTTTCAAGATAATTTTGTACAAAAACTGTACAATATAATTTTGAAAAGAAGGTGACTGCTAAGCAGTTCAGTTTACATTGTAAATAAAGTACTTTATAAAATAAGACAAATTTTACAAAATATTACAAAAATAATAATTATTTTTATTCTTACACTAAAATATTTTTTTTTTTTTAAAAATGGGTAGTTGATTATGGCCAGGCGTTTGCATAAACAATTGCGAGGGATTGGAAAGCAGAATCGAGCAGGGGGGTCCTTTGTGAACAAAGAATTGTGCAGTTTCTATCTTGTCACATACGTAATAAATAAAGATAAGCAATGAACGAGAACCACTTAGATAAATCAAAGTAATTCACTCAAAATTTCTATAGCGGTCATTCTGACCGCAAATGGTTGGTCTAGATAAATCATCCTCTTATATGCTTATAATTTCTGAAGGAATTTGTACTAAAGGAATGGCTCTGTCCAGTTTTTAAAAAATTATTTCGTTAAATCTTGGCTTTCTCTAGTTCAGGGGATAGAGCGCTTGTCTTCCTATGAGTTAACCCAGGTTTTAATTCCAGCGATGGCTGTGGTCAATGCGAGTTCTTCTCGCAGATCGCATCGACCACAGAGGTATTTTAAGTTATCCTCAGTCATAGACGGATCATGTAACGGAATCCTCATTGCCGTCGGACATATTGTTGAATTTTCGTGGTTTTTCAACGAAAAATAGCAAAAAAAGTTTTCAACGAAAAATAGTTAGCCCCGATGCTTTAGCACCCTTGTCTTTAGGTAGGTCTTTTTTTCCTTCTTTCTCTCTAAGAAAAAAGACAAATAAGTATGTTTAAATTAAACCACGATTTTAAAAAAAAGTACTTTATGTAATAAATGTATTTTTTGCATCTTTGTAATGAAAGTCGAATTTTATTATGATTTATATAAAATTTATGTTGTTGAACATAATACATATTTCTAATAATGTTTTTCATACAAATCGTATTAATATTAACTCTTACATCTTCATTAACTACAAGAAATTTATACAAGAAGCTGAGTAAATAAATTGAAAAAAAATAATAAAAATTCCTAAAATGGTATAAAATTGTAACCTTTTGTTTACTCATAATATAAATACATTAATATAAAAGGAAAAGAACAGTAAATTTTACTATTTATTGTGCTACTAAATGTTTAGAAATCGCATTAAAACTATAAAATCTAGATAATTTATCTTGATCAAAAACTTTTTTACAGACTGAGCACACGACTTTTATTTATAATAAGGATATAAAATTTGAATTATTACGTCTGCCATGTATGTATATATATATATTATATATATATATATATATATATATATGCTTTATGATAATTGTTTAATAATCAAAAAATAAAAATAGACAATTAAATGAAACCATAGCAAAAAAACAAATTTGCATGAATATTTAAAGTATGTTCATAACAGTCTTTATAAAAAATCAATTTGCTTTAAAATTAAAAGGCATATTTCACTAAGTTTGATTTTATTCTATTAATAACTGGATTCCATGTCCTTCAAAAAATATAAATTTCCTTAAAATTATAAAGGATTTAATTTAAATTAACTATATCGGAACTTAGGAATAATTTAAATATTGCATACGTTTTTGAGAAGAAAAAGGGTTTGTGTTTAGCTTAACTTTAAGAGCAGAGGAAGAATTATGATCAATGCTCACGTAACCTAAAGCTCTGAAACTCTCTTGTTCTTAGAATTTTTTTTTAAAAATACACATAAAATATGTTTGGGAAAAAATTGCACTTTAAAAATTTTCTAAATGGTAATAAAAATTGTAGCAAGCAAAAATTGTTACAAATTTGGGTCAAGAAAAGTTTGAAACTTTTTATTTCAAGTAGATACAGAAATCAAGAGCTTAAACCACAAAAGAAACCTGAATATTCAACTCAATAATTAATTTAAACAAATTTAACATATTTTTGCTTAAATACTCTTATCTTTTAAATAGAAATACCACTGTATAAGTCAATCCAAAGAACAATTAGAAGGAGATTAAAATTCTCTACGTAAGCTTAGGGACTTCTTGATTTTCTTTTGCTGAAAAAAGTGGAAAATGACAGAAAAATCAAAAAAAGAGAAAAATAACATATTTACAATCTATTTGAACAAATAAAATTATTACTCATTTTTTAATGAAGCACATTAAAATATATCACTTAGGGCTTGTATTATCTTTCCGTTTGACTCAAACGATAAATAGACGGTGCTCAGAGTGTGAGTTAATATCATACAAAAATTTGCTCTCCAAAAAGCACATTTATTTATTTTTTCACATTAATAGTTTCGTTTTGCTATAAGATGCTTTCAGGGTTATAAGTTGAAAGTATAAAAACTTAAAAAAAAATAATAATTTACGAGATCAGAATCAAATTGAAAAAAATATGTACATTTGATCTATACAGTCATATAAAATCAATATATATTTAATTTATTTAAAAGACTGCGGTAAATTCTATTTTTTTATTATAAACGAAAGACGTGTGCTACAGTCTTTAAAAAAGACTTTCATCTAGGTAAATTATCTAGATTTTAGAGTTTTACTGCAATTTAAACACCAAACATTTAGTAACACAATTAATAGTAAAATATACTATTCTTTTCCTTTTATATTAATGTATTTATATTATGATTTACATACTTATAGAGATAATAAACAAAATGTTACAATTTTATGAAATTTTAGGAATGAATTTTTTTTTTAAATTTAATTACTCAGCTTCTGTATAACTATATAACTTATTTAAGCAAGACGTAAGAGTGAATATAAAAGATTTGTTTAAAAAACATTATTGGAAATATGTATCATGTTCAAGAACAAAAAATTGGTATGAATCATAATAAAATTTAACTTTCAGTACAATGTTCAAAAAAATGTACAAAATATATTTATAACATAAAGTATAATTTTATTAAAATTTTTTGCTTATTTTAAACAAATGTATGTGTCTTTTTTCTTAAAGAAAAGAAAAGGAAGAAAATAAGCAAAGAAAAAATGATCTGACAATATTTCTTTTGGAATAATCAAGTAACTATTAACAAAGTACTATTTCAGTTTGGTGTAATTAATTTTATTTTTCTTTATAATCTCTAAATTTATAAACTGCTAAGTAAAATTTTTCTTAAAATAAAAAATTAAACATTTTAGATAAAAAAAAATTTAATATACTCATTTTTATTGAAAAAAAATATTCAAAGAGAAACGACAAATTATAGCAGATATTCGAACCTAGGCATATTGAGAAAAGGGCAAAAGTGGAATTTGAAACAGCGTGACAAGCAATTTTTTCACGAATACAGTAATTGCGGAAATTTTAATATAA